GCTGTCACTGACTGCACAGAGCACAAAGAATGAGCAAAATTTGCATGTCTCACCTCCTTAAAACAGCACCCTGTCGTGGAATGCTAGCTTGATGCGAGGGCATTTATACATCTAGCCGTCCAAAAAGTCACCGAACCAGGTGGGACATCACAGGTTCTTTTTGGTAGGATTTGCCAAAGCATAGTGACTGAAGTGATGTGCGAAGAGATAAACAACTTGTAACCGCCTGATATTGGATCTCTCTTACTTTCACTGAAATAATAATACTTTCTCACTGATCGCCATCACGGTGCCATCAGAGGATGACAATTTTTTGAAAGCATTACAGCGTTAAGTCTTATGAATTCATGTCAAATGACTGAATTCAACTCGACGTTGAAAAAATGAAAAGCTAATATCCCTCCCTGTTCAGAATTCCAACTCACAACCTTTCCACCGGTGAAGTCAGATGTTCCGCAGACTGAGGTATGATCGCATTGCTGATATAATTATAGCTTGGTTACCAGTGAATCGTCATTCGTTGCAACAGTCTCCCTTTGTCACAGCAATAGGTTCGCGTAGGCGTTAGTCATCCAGACTGCATAACTGCGTCAGTGGATCCGCTGGCCACTAACGATAACAACATACAGTGCGAAACGCCAAACGTTTATCGATAGGTTCCCGATGGACTGTACACTGCAGTGGGTTAGATCTACCTGATTCTTGGAGGATTTGAATTTGAACTGTAAACCCCCCTGAAGATGTTTCAGTTATCACACGATATGAAAAAGACTCTTTCTTAATGAAACAGTGGTATGGTTTCACCTCGGCGTTAGTTTTAAACTTATAGTACCAAATACATTTTACATAAAAATGCTATAAGACAAAATAATATAGTATCGTATTTTCTTTATAAAATATCACGGATATTAAATGGTTTAAATGGTAAAGACAGCTATGACAATTTTGGTCACAGTGTTCTGTCATTAATGATATTTAATTCATTTATGTTTTTAGTCTGTATTATAAAGCCAGCTCCCCTAGCGATTCGTTCAGTGAAAGCGAGTAGTAAACCAAAAACTTTAAACAGCAAACCTTCAACCATTGATGGCAAACGTGAACCGAATGATTGTATTGACAGATCAGTGTTTTAGACAACGAGACATCGTCCGTTACTTTAAGGTCAACAAAAAATTTTTACAAGGCAACATCCGTATTAAATTAAAAGCTTTATGGATAGAGTAATAATAAGAAACGGTGGAGCAAAATAAACACGGAAAATCGCGATTCTTAAGAAATGGACTTAAGGAGGATGACCATCTGATCAGCGACTAAAATGTCATATACTAGTAATCTATAATAATTCAAAACTACAGAACACGACTTATTTATGCAAAGTGTAAAAGAATATGGTCATTCGAACGGTTAACCAATATCGACGATTTCGCCCGTGTCTCTGGGCTTTCTTTAAGGAAAAGACGTCAGTTGACTGACTTCGCAATTGTTTCTACTGTTTGCAGAATTTGGTGCGTGTGGAAGCAGAAGGTAAGCATTTGGTCCGTGCTGCTGGCTAATTACTTGCTGTCAAGTTCATCCAATCTGAACAGAGTTTGTATCCTTTGTCACGGTTGACACTATCGCAGCAGTGAACGATTAATGCCTCCTTAACGAACCTATTCAGCTGTCTTTTTTCTACTGATGCCAGCACAGTCTGATCATTTTGAGGCAAAATGAAAGGTCCTTACACTGTTCCTTGACTTTACCGAATGCTTCGTTAAGAAGATCGCTCAACGCTCCTTCGCAATCATCCATCATCAACGAAAATGTTTAAATCCCTCATCAAGCTGGTAGTTACCAGCCGCTGTCTTGTATATACGTTTCTTCTCCTCCGGACTGACACGCAGAAGTAGCCTCTTTCACGATCTCATCTTCAAGATCCCGAGTATCACTAAAGTATATCAACGTGGTCGGATATAAGAAAGCAGCTCAACTTCGGTCTATCAGTGTAAAAAATGCATTTCTGATCGACTGAAGAAAAACAACTTATTACAGACAGATATGAAACAATTACAATATAAGCTCCTCTGTTTGAAAAAAATCCCATAAATGCCCTAAAGAGAAGAATATTTAGACCTACGAAAGCGAATACCGTTTATCTGGATGTCGATGAACCCTGGGGCGATGGTCAAACCATCGCAGTCCACCTGGAAGTCAGGAGACTGCTTGCTTTCGAAGAATACTGGCCGAGGGTCGATGATTTTGCCGCCTTTGGTCCAGAGGTGGTCATTCACCAAACGACCGTTCCGAAGAACCTGACAATTAACGAACTGCCCTAATCCGTCAGGCAGATTTTCGCACTGTGACCATTTCAGTCTCTGCAACGAACCCATCGATTTCCGTCGTTACTCGAATCGACAGCCGGTGCCTGCCCGACTACTGATCACGCCTGAAACTGAACACCGTCGCACCGAAACACCGTAGGCAAATCAACGAGGTCAAACGATACACAGGACAGGCATGCGCGAAACCTCAAAGATAAAACAGCTTTCAATGCGGCCATTTGCATGTGTCAGGATCGCCAACGGTTAAAGCAAAAATTTCAAAGACAAAACATTTTTTAATAATAATTCATTTATACACAAAAGAATTAGTTTCCCACATTAAAGTAAAAAATATATTTGCTCCACAGCAATGCATCATAATCGTGATTGACCAGATAGTTGAATCTTGGGCTATTTGTACAATACAAAATGCCGTCTAGCAAAAATTTATGGTTTACACGGTTTAAAGTCAGAGGCTTCATTTGGACAGCTGTCTGGGTCGAAGATATGTCAGCATTGCTATATTGATGTCGAACAATTCATTTTGTCCACGAAACTTTCGGTATATCGTTCAGCTCGGTAAGACTGTCCAGATACTGATTGAACTGTTCCACTTTCTCTCGATGACTGCTCTGAGCTTTTTTGATGATTCTCTGCATCTGAAATACTTAAAATAGTAAAATATTAATACTAACACATGCACCAGTTCAAAAAGTAAATGAATTTATCATGTGATAGCAAATAAGGGGTACCAGCCCCTGAAATATCGTTATAGCAAACAGAACGATAGGAGATATGATGGATCTATGGTCGGCCTCCGACTTCAGCGGCCCCTTAGGATACTAGGAACAAGACACAGTGCAATATGCCGTACAGTATGGTGTTCAATGAGTCATATATCATGTATTTATAATAAGCGATAACTACGGATATGACAAATATGCATGTTTTGTCTTAGTGCTTGTGCTTAAGATGTTGATGGTCACTGTGATGGCAAGACCAATGGATGTGTCACCATTCAATATGATTTTTGAGGTAGCGTTGGATGTGTGTTCACCATCTGCTCTAAGCATGATTGTCATGCGAAGATACAAATGAGAAGAACCCCCGAGCGATGAAAAGAAGCAGACGAGAAAAAAGAATGGAAAATTGAAAAGCAGACCTGGTATTTGAGAACTCCAATGATGCTAAATGCATCATGAATAACTTCATCTACTGAACAATCTCTTATTTCTCAAAAATGTTATTTTAACGACTACTGCTGCTACTCATAACGTATGAACTGTTGCTGAAACATCGCTCATGAGAAGCGTGAAGTTTATAAGCGAAAAACGACGCAAGATACATCAATGGATGTATTCAAAAATCATCATGGTGGTGGTAGCCGTGGCTTCTTTAAATGCATTAGACAACTAGGAGAAAATTGATCGATGCAACAGAAAGTGAAAGCTGATATTACGTATACGTAATCTCTCAACAATAAAACACTCCGGCATATGAACATATCTTTATTGAATAGATTATTATTAAACATAGTTATATAAGAACGGAAACCAATCTGAAATCAGTCATTTTCGAGATGTTCATCAAAATCTCGAAACATCTGCTGTCTTTAAGCTATCTTGCACAACTTCCAACAACAATCTCTGAGCAGCATCCTCAAAGTCCGACAACAAAATTAAATCGCGAAAGAGCAACTGCTGAGGACCAGCTATATAAGAAAACTATCAGATGAATTCAGAGACCGGTGCTTGACTTTGTTTGATGAAACGACCCAAATAAAGAATGGATACATATTCAAAACTTAAGTACATTTGGAACCGCGCACTAGCCGCAGACCAGTGGAAAATTCTCTTTGAAAGAACGTTTTGCGAGCAGGAATATGACTTCTGCAATCGAAAGGAACTTTGTGTAATATCAATCTGTGGTACCAGTTCTAACGGTCAGATATCACAAACCTGGGTCTGGGTTACACTGCTGTTTAAGTTCTATCAATCTCAGACGACGATGACAAAACAACAACAAGAACATAGTGGCATACACAAGATATACTGTATTACTTATAAGCGCTTCCAATGTGGGCTTCACAGTGAATGACGCTGCTACTTACTCCGATTTGCTTTGGTAAAATTTATTCCTTATACTGATTATAATAAAGATGATTTAGCATCATCAGAAAATGCTATGATCCTGTTTTTGATTTTCGATGGAAGCTACGACTGCTTTTCGGAAGTTCTAACGTCTTTGGTACAAAGCAAATGAAAACACTATGTGAAAGGCACAGACCGAGGCTCTAATTCAATGGTTGAGGGTGACTGACTGATTTATCTTTCTGCATCTTTCTTTTTCCTTTGATTCTCTCACCCTTCTGGAAAATTCTTGTGTTTCTTTCCTTCGTCGTCATAATGCTGTTATACTTTTGATCTTTCCCTAACTTCTCCTTGTTTCTCTTCGATTCCTTCTTCTTCCTCATTTCCCTTCCTATTCGTCTTCACACTTTTCGCCTTCCATCTACCAGCATTTTGCTTGGACTTCATAATAACTAATGATTACAACACAATCTTTAAAGGAACGGTTATAACGATTGCTTATCCAGCTCATTTCCTGACGAGAAAACCGTTAAACAAGTCGTTTATAACCGTGATCAATACATATTCTTCATTTTGTGTAAACCAACGATTTGGTGTGATACTCCTGGTACCGAAAAGTACTCAACGTCGAGTACCAATGAATTACACAATACGAAGGAATAGATTTAAGTGCGACGCATATTTTACAATTGCAATGTCGAACAACATGGGAAAAATTGTTAAATTCAAGCGATAAGATTTGTAAAATCAACATCAGGTTCAGCATATTGCTCAACAGTCCGGAAAAAGAACTTTCGATGCAGCACATAGTTAATAACGTTTCAAATTAAGTGAAGAAAAGGTACCGACAAAATTTACTTAAAAATGTGACAAAGTTTTGAAAGCCAAGACGACTTCAAAGAGCTTTCGAGTATTCTACAGTTGAAAGCAAATTATTATCACAAATTATGACCTCTGCTCCCCAAGCAACGCCTTGTCATGAGTGCCTGAATTTAAGAAAATTTACTCAACCAGAGTACTTCCATCGCAATCATGAAAAGCTGTTGGACGCTTATCAGCAGCGCTGTCTCGGAAC